TAATGCAATGATGTTTTATTGGGCTGATTTTACAAAATTCGGAAAGTATATCGATAAAATGAAGCCTATAACTTCATTGAAGCACCAGACCAAAGTAACTAATTCGTAGTTAATACAACGAAATCCGTAAATCACACACACAAAAGAATCTAAAAATCTAAGCGAACATATGAATGATCTAATCACTAGTATGTGACATACGACACACACTTACTCTTCACACAACAGGTGCAGGTTTCACCTCCGCAGAGCCAAGGCACTGCCACCTCGTCGGCCTGGCACTTCTCCACACAGCGCCCGTCCAATGCCTGGCACTTGAGGCTGTCAGGGCACTTTTCTGGAATGGCATTGGATACGGCAGAATATTTATATACATTCGAGCTCTTTTTTTCAAATGAAACACTAATAAAATTTAAATTTCATAACCAACAGTAGAGCCAATAAAACTACAAATATAGATAGTTAGAAACTAGGAATACATGAAATCTCAAGCTAAGAATTTACAAATACAATAAATTATATACTAGAAATATATTAAATTATGAATAAATAACATACCACATTATAAACTAGGAAGGTACGATATTTCAAGATGAAAATATACCTATAATGAGCTAACGAAATATACCAAATTGCAAACAGAATATATACAATTTCAAATTAACTAATTGTATAGGAAATAATCAATCCTAAATAAAAAATAAGAATATATCATACCCAAATAAAGAATATAGCAATTAACAGACGGCAAGGCTTACGAGGGTGCCAATAGTCTATAACAATAGTTGGATTTATATACATTCGAGCTCTTTTTTTCAAATGAAACACTAATAAAATTTAAATTTCACAACCAACGGTAGAGCCAATAAAACTACAAATATAGATAGTTAGAAACTAGGAATACATGAAATCTCAAGCTAAGAATTTACAAATACAATAAATTATATACTAGAAATATATTAAATTATGAATAAATAACATACCACATTATAAACTAGGAAGGTACGATATTTCAAGAGGAAAATATACCTATAATGAACTAACGAAATATACCAAATTACAAACAGAATATATACAATTTCAAATTAACTAATTGTATAGGAAATAATCAATCCTAAATAAAAAATAAGAATATATCATACCCAAATAAAGAATATAGCAATTAACAGACGGCAAGGCTTACGAGGGTGCCAATAGTCTATAACAATAGTTGGATTAAATATTATGTATTAATGCTTCATGTTGATTTTACAAACTGGGAAAGGATATCGATAAAATTAATCCTATTTCTTCTTACAGCACCAGCGACTTCTATAATCACGAAACAAATCTACAAATATAAACAGATAAATCAACTAATCATCATTATATAAAACACGATTCACACTTACTCTTAAGACAACAGGTGCACGTTTCACCCCCGCAGAGCCAAGGCGCAGACACCTCGTCCGCCTGGCACCTCTCCACACAGCGCCCGTTCGATGCCTGACACCTGGAGCTGTCAGGGCACTTGTCTGGCATGGCAGCGGATACGAAAGAAGTATTACTCGCTCCGAAAAACAAAGACAAAACAAATAAACATAAAACTAACAAATTGTGTTTTTTCTTTTAATATCTATATACATACGAGCAGAAATTATCATATTTTGCTTATGTTGTAATTAGGTTTTTCATTTGCTGACTATCATATACTGTACTGTCTTACTCATTTATGAAAAGAACCAATGAAAATATGAGGTAACACAAAATCTAAGAATATTGCACATGCTACACTGACTTTATAGCAAATGCTAAACTAACTAGAAACAGCAATTAGAAACGAAGAATAAAAACTGAAAATGATAACTAATAAACCACGAATACAGAAATTATAGACTAAGAATACATACTGAAGAAGGAAAAACAGAATTACCTTCAAAGCAACAAACACAATCTCCGGAACAAAGGCCTTTTTCTGCAACTTCTCCCCTATTGCAAGCCTTGGCACATCTGCCTCCGGAAAAGGTGCAACACTTGCTTTGCGTGCAAGTCCCTGTTGCAGTGAAAACGTATAGACTAGATAGTGGTGAAGGGAGAATGATGATTGATATTTATACATGTAAACGTGTGTACTTTTGTAGTGTAATCATGGTCATTATCAAAAATGAGGTGGTTACGGTAGCAGTAGTTAGAATGACATCATTATTGATTACTAAGCATGGTGCTGATAGTGATGATGATAAAAGAATAAAATTAGTTATAAGTAGTCGTTGTGATAGCAGCAACAATGGGTAGTACTCATATGGTTAGAATGACTGAGCTGATGATTTTCTCATGTCGAGTTACTAAGACCCCCTTTGAATATATATAGTGGCATATTCTGAAAATGAACAATTAAACATGTATATTTTTTATTCAACAGTTTGTATTATATCTGTTTCTTCGATACTTGTTCCTTGTTCAAGTAATTAAATATATATATATATATATATATATATATATATATATATATATATATATA